TGTCCTGTGGGTTCACTATGAGTCAGAACGGACTCCATGGCACCTAACAACAGCAGCAGCACTTATATGTAAATGTGTGAAGATTGGTGTTGGTGTTTTTCTCATTAGAGATCTTCTTTCATCTTCCTTGCGGGCTGGGGGTGGGAGGGACTCTATCAGGGAAAAAAAAGATTTCCTGAGACAAGAACTGAAACACTGATTAGGAGAAATATTTACTTATGCATCAGCTGAGGTCAGCTTTCTGATTTGTCTTCAATCAGAGGGAGAACTGTTCAGTTCAACAAATATTTCTTGATTGCTTCCTATGTGCAAGGCATGCTTTTAGACAAACTACCATCTTATGGTAGTTGGGTTTTTTTGTTTTAAGAGTTTTTTTTTTTTTTTCCTTCTCTCTCTTTTTTCAAGTTTTATTAAAATGGAATGCTAGATAGTTTGAATAAAAAACCAGGCACTCAGGAACCAAACATAATGGACTACATCATGGTGAGCCCCTGAGAAAAGACCAGGGCTTAGCACACAGCAGACATGAAATAAATGCTTATTGAATGAAATCTAACAGAGGCATGAACAACTGAGAAGATGTGGTTGTCCGAGTAAGAGGCCACATTTTCCCCATGAAGTAGAGTCATCTATCCATCTTTGATTTGTGACACCAGAGAGTCCTGCCCCTCTGTCCTTCCAGTGTTCAATAGCTGTCCTTCCGCAGTTGCTGTCCTTAGAGCAGCCTCCACCCTTCTTGCCTGACTACAGCCGTTCTGCCTGTTTTCAGTTGGAACCTCACCAGTTCACTCTTATTGTGCTCTCAGGGTAGACTGAGTAGGAGCCATGCCAGTGACGCTAGATGAGTGAGGAAATAAAGAGAGATACCAAAAAAAAAAGGAAAAAAAAACCCAAACCCACTGCCGTTTAGTCGATTCCAACTGATAGCGACCATATAGGACAGAGTATAACTGCTCCATAGGGTTTTCAAGAAGCAGCTGGTGGATTCAAACTGCTGACCTTTTGGTTAGCAGCTGTAGCACGCTGTAGCTGTCAACCACGGCGCCACCAGGGCTGTACCCTGGTTTCGGAGCCTTGGTGGTACAGTGGTTAAGCGTTTGGCTTAGCCGGGTAGTCGAGTGCTTGACTGTTTGTGCCACCCAGGGACTTCTGGTACTAACATTTTTATAACCCTGGCATTATAAACTCATTCCAGCATCCTGTCTTTATCTGGTTGATTCCTTTTAAGGTCAGTGCTATTAATTACAGTGTAACCTTGTTGCAGATCATCTGTCTGCAAAGCTTGGGATGGGGCCAGTGCATACTTGATAATAGAAAAATGGACAGGATCCAGAAGATGGGGATGATTCCATCCCTACCTGAAGCAGGTTCAGCCAGTTGATCTCTTGAGATGCCTTCTGAAACCTGTGTGGTATGTGTGTGTGTGGTTTAGGTCATAACTGAGGTACAGAGATATGATGGGAAACAATGTGTCATATGGCCACCAAAACAATCCCAGCCCTTCTCTGATGTAATCTAAGGAATAAAATCCTAAAAATACCACCTAAGCAATGCTTTTACCGCAGATCTATTTTGACTAGCACAGCCTCCAACTATTTACATGGAGAGAATAGGGAGCAGGTTCGGAATGGGGAGTCGGCCTGCTGTTCCTGACATGCATTTTAATAAGCAACCCGACAAGATCAACAAGAAGAAAAAAAAAACCATGAACAGGTGTGGGGGAGCCAGGGAGAGACAGCCTGGTTTCTTCCTTCTCTTAATCAACTCAGCACACTGTTCTACTGCCAGGACTCTCTGGCTCGTACCAGTGAGTGTGCTAATTGCCGTCAGTGTGGGCTCTGATAAAGGGGGCCCAGAGTCCCAGATGAATCCCCCTGTGCTTAAACAAAAGGGAAACTGGGTTTCTATAATGACTGTTCCGCTGTCACAAACCGAAATGCTCCGTTCATCTGCCCAGGGGCCCGTTGGCGAGTGCCGTTTCTGCTGGCTGCATCGCCATGGAAATGTGTGACACATTTGTTGATGAGTTGTCTGTTTCCAGATGGACATCTTCATTCCCAGCACCAGCCTTTGAAACATCTGACAGACCATTTTTAAGTATGTGCTTTGCACAAATTGTGGTTTATGTAAGGGTCTTGCTGGTTCTTTTGTTTCATAGACCGTGATGGATTTTGTGCAGGGTATGGTGTAAGTACTAACGATAGGGCTGGCTTTGTAGTCTTGGCTGTTTGTTTTCTCTTTGTAGCCAATCAAATTGTGTTCCTGTAACACAGCCCTAGCTAGCCAGCGGTGGTTGTTAATGACATATTTAAACCTATTCTCTTCTAAATGGGTGAGGATTCTTTCTTGATGTCTTGGAAGTCATGTAGCCAGTAGCTATTCCATTTCATTGAAGGAAAATATTAGAAAAATATTAATAGTTTGTCTGCTACTTTCAATCCGATTGCATTCCCTGAAAGGATAAGAAAGGGAAGACTAAACATTGCTAGAGTGCTCAGAATGCGTCTACACTGGACTGTGGCTTGGTGGAACGAAAGGATAGTGGGCAAGGCAAGGGCGGCCTTATGAGCCCTTTATGATTCCCAAGACCTGGATGCATTAACAAGTTAATCAATGGATTCTGATCCACAGTTACAACACAAAAAATTTTTAGGGAAGACCTTTCCGTGTATCGTGGACAAAGGGCCATCTGTATCCTTAGAAAGTTTGCTTAGACCCTAAAAGGGTGTGCTCTTCCTCAACTTATCATGCAGGTGCTTGGGTCCTCTGGGCAAAATCATACACTCTACTAGAATTATGTTCAATATTAATAATTATTTATAATGAAGTAATTGCTCACCATTAGCAATTAAGATCAAAATTTAGTTTAGTTGAATAGCCGTAATGATCCCAATGAGACGTGATTTGTAAATATAACTGTCCCAAATGGAGGTTAGGGAGGCCCATTTGTAATTTTTATTTTTCATCTTTATTTTTCTCTCTGTCATAATGAAGACCACACAGGACTGGGCAGTGATTTGTTCTGTAATACATAAGGTCTCCATGAGTCAGAGCCGACTTGATGGCAACTAACACAACAATTGTATTGAAGGCATAATTTGTCAGTGTCTTTTTTTCCCCTAATTATCAATTGTTTTTCCAACTTGTGGGTAAATAATCCTTAAATAAATGTGTCTGTTTTATTAATTTACCTTCAGATTCTCTTTTCTGAGTACCATAGTGGAACGGGAAGCCTTTTTGTGTTGTAATTGTGGATCAGAATCCATTGATTAACTTGTTAATGCATTTAGGAGTTGGTCATCATAAAGGGCTCATTACTGTAACCTCACACCAGTCTTGCTAATTTCTTTGGAAAGAAGCAGAATCAATGAATTGTCAGGTGGAAACAAACAATTGGCTTAGCCGTAAACATGGAGTCTTTATTCAGATATATGCAAATGTACTACATGCATACAGATGATAATTTTGAGAAGCATTTGAACAGCACAGTTACTTGGAGTAATGTTACTGTAACAAACATCTTTGGGGATAATATGTTAAGGGATAGTATGAAAATGCCTGAAATTGCATTAATAAGTGGCATTAAGGCAAGAGATTATATAAGAATATAGTCATTGTACCAAACTAAATTGTACCAAATTAATCATAGGCATTAAGAAAATATATTGTAACTCCCTGAACTAAAGTATAAACCCTCTTTGTGACAGACATCCATCTTCCATGTAGCCCACATCGTGGTTAAATATCACCCATAGCACGTGATAGGCAGTTATCAGTTTGCTGGTTGATGAATTCTCATTGCATGATTCCTGTGATTTTCCCCACAAAATGTATTTCAGATGACCCAAAGCCGCATCTGTTTTTGGCCTTGCTGTGCCCAAATCATTTCCTGTTGACAGGAATCTCATGGAAATGTCATAATCATCACCACACCTCTACCCTGGAAAACTTTAGCTGCAAGGTTGCTTAAGTTTATGCTATGATGTGTATCGATAACGGGATTTACTGTACTCCACCTGGGTGTTGTGAGGTCTGGGTCCCATCTGTGGCTTATGATACTCTCCAGCCTTGAGGGGTAACGCACCAACTAAAGCAAAACAGAATAAAAAAACTTACCATGGAGTCCACCCCAACGCATGGTGACCCCGTGTGTGTCAGAGTAGAACTGTGCTCCGTAGGGTTTTCAGTGGCTGATTTTTCGGAAGTAGATTGCCAGGCCTTTCTTCTGAGGTGCCTCTGAGTGGACTCACCTCCAGACTCTTGTTTAGCAGCCGAGTGTGTTATCCATTTGCACCACCCAGAGACACCTGTTAGATATATTGATACATGACTCTTCATGCATGTGGCTTTACAGAGGTTAAGTAATATCAAATATATGTATATAAAACATTTGAAATAATTGAAATAATATCAAGAAGCATATGAAATAATTGCAGACTGCTCCAAATTTAATACGGGGAGCACAAAAAGGAAAATGTCTATTTCCAGTTGTTTATATCACTTTATCAATATAACCCATTAATCTTGAACAGCGCTTTGTTTTTCCAAAAGAGAAATTAAGATGTGAATGTACTGCTGAAAATTGCTGCCATGGCATTTTGAGCTCATATCCTCCCAGGGAAAAACAAGAATACTCCCCTCAGTCTTCCATTAGACTATTATGTGATATATCGCAGGGTGTATAGATTCCAAATAGTCTTTAGAGATGGAATAATCTTTTTCCTCTGCCACCATTTGCTCTCTCTGTGATAGGACCAGACAGTGACAGTTTTATTAGCTGCATTCATGGTGCTGAACTTTTCCCAATAGGCAGAGGAGAGTGCCTCATAAAAAGATCCCAGATGCCTGGTTAAGCTTCTTCCAGACTGTTCCGAATGAACTCCACATAAAGGCAGCAAGGGAAAGGCTCTAATAAATTCCGCTACTGGGCTTTTCTAACTGACACTTTTCTACCATTGTGGAAAGAGTTATAAAATGTCTTTTCTTTTTTTGGTACTCAGATGAGTATAGGATCAAACCAGTGGAAGAGGTCAAATACATGAAAAATGGAGCAGAAGATGAGCAGAAAATAGCAGCCAGGAACCAAGAAAACTTGGTAAGAATTGCATTTCTCATATAACGATGAGTTTTGGTGACACCATTGTAATAAAATCTGCACTGAATGTTTAAACTGCAGTTTACACACTGAAAGGCGATTTCTTGAAGATGCTGTAGCTATTTATAGCTTGCCTGAAAGCTGCACCATCACTCCCGTATCCTGTTTGTCTCTGAATAAGCCCTTCTTTAATCTCAACAGAGAATGCTCCAGGGGAAGTACAGCAACATTATTAAATGTTTTGGAATAGTTAAATGCAAAGGAAAAAACATAAAGTAGGATTGAGATTTATCGGGAGAGTTTTTTTCCTGTTCTCCATCTCCTTTAACTGTTATGCAGACCAGGTTGAATGGTTAGATTTTATTATTCTGGTCATGCATTGTGGTTGAGGAAATTGCCTTTTAAAGGAAAATAATGTACTTTTAAGGTAGGTCTCTGTCCAATGAGTCAGTACTTCACATTCACAGTTTTAAAGGTATTGTGGGTTTTGAGTTAATATGAGAATTGTAATGATCTGAAACAGGAAGTGAAGAGCCTCTTTCTTAAATATGAATCAATACATACCTTCCATATTAATATTCTTTCTCTAGAAAATATTTAGCTCATTTTCATAGTAGCTTATTTCTTAAAAGAGGTTACAAATTGTTAAGAATACACATTTCTTCATTTGGGTTGGAGCAAAGTTATTTTTATATTTTGTTTTTGAATTAATTATTTGCTATTTTTTTCATATTTGAGTGAATGTATTTCGTAGACGCCTGCAATGTTGTGAAACATTTTCACTTGACCTAAACTCCTTTCTCCATTACATGCTTTGTTTTTGTTTTTTTTGATTTCTGCTACAGCAGAGGGAGTTGGCAGAGTATTAACCAGTGCTCATGAGTATTTAAGGCTGTCATTTTCCATGAAACAGTAATGAACATAATAGGCTAATTCTTTACCTCTGTCCTTTTCTGAACATATGATCTACAGCTTGAAATGCTGAAGTATCAACAACTGAATATTTTAGATCTCTTTTAAAGGAGTGAAAATATTCTATATATGATAAAATTTTGCTTCATAAATGGGATTTGGATTTCAGACTATCACATAGATTCATTGTACCCTCAAGGATTTTTTTTTTTTTTAGCATTAAAACTTAAATCCAGAAAGATAGTCATGACTAAATAGTAAAAAATTAATATTATCAGACTTTTTATAGGAATTTTTCTTTTTACTTTGAATGGATAAATAGAAGACCTGAGTAGTTGAAATAACAGCAGTCCTTTTTCTACTTCGTTTTATTGAAAAACACAGTTTGTCCTTGCTTGATATAGTTTCAGCTTGAGTTATAAATCTCATCTTCAATGGTAATAATTCCATCAAAGGCTAGAAAGATAGTGGTAAGTGGTCTGGAAGTGGCTGCTCCTTGTATCTACTCTTGATGTGTGTGTCCACTTCATGTGCTTGTGTCTCTGGCCTCCTAAAGGAAGCAGTGACTTTTATAGCTCATGAATGTTTTCTCATTGTGCCGCCATCATATTTAGGGTCAATGCAGCTTTTTTCTTTCTCTGTCAGTTTCCCAGTCTATCAGCTACTTGGTGCTCATGTATTTCTTTCCAGCTCTTTGGTCAGAATTAGCAGATGGAAGGGAGATTCAAAAGAGAGAAATTTCTTGTCATTCTTACTTATTTGTGGATTATCTGTGACAACCCCACATCCCTTTGCTCTGCCTCCCAGTCAGGGTCCAGGCTACCAACAGGAGTTTTAAAGTGTGAGAAGGTTTGCATAGGGAATGGAGAGTAAATGGTTATCCTTGATTCTGAGATTTCTAGACTGCTTTCCAAAATTGAATGACTTTCAGTTATCTGGTAGTGTGTTATCTTTGTCATCCACCATCCTTTGGGATGCACGATCCCATGCATATTGTTTGAGAAAACTAATAGCCTCATAAACTTGAAGCTTATATTGGGAGGTGAATGAAGTTGCTCTAGCAAGTCTTTATTTTTACGTTGTATAAAATAATTTAGGAGTCAAAAAGTTCTCACGTTATGAAGAATGAATTTAAAATGGAAGTCGAAGTTTTTTTTTAAAGTTTTTTTCAATCAAACTGTTGAAACTAAGGTGTTCAGCGAACATAAGCAAGGCAGTATGGCATGGTGGTTAAGCCTTTGGGCTCTGGAGGCAAAAGCTGCCTGGGTTCAGATCTCAGCTCTCAGTTGCTAACTGCATGATTGAATTACTTCACTTCGATAAACCTCCCACTAATCAAAGTGGGAAAGGACAGTCCTGATGGTGCTGTTGTGAGTATTACATGAGATGATCCTTGTAAGACATTTAGTACAGTGCCTGGTACGTGAGAAGCACCTAATAAGAGCTAGACGTTACCAAAGAAAGCAAAAGGAAAGAATACAGAACGTTAGCATCAGTGTTTTTTTTCCCCCTTTCATTTATGTTAATCGGTGACTAGTTTCTAAATGAATGCTTTGGGTTAATCCCGTGTCACATGTATTCTGAAAACTTGTGCTCTGGAACTATGAAATTATTTAAACAAGTATGTTTTGAACACCTGTTATGTACAAGATAGTAAGTATTGAGAAATCTCATAACGGGTTCTTAAAGTCACTGTCCTCAAGGAGCTTGCAGTAAAGTTGCGATAACAGTTCAAGACAACAAATATTTATTATCATTGGTGTGCAAGGCACTGTACTAGATTTTGCAGAGAAACACAAAAATAAGGAAACTATAGACCCTCACCTCAAGGCACTTGTATTCCAGTAGACAAATACCTAATGACTATAAATAAAACAGGTTAAGATTGATTCCAAGAAAAAAATTCAAAATGCTGAATACATTCAAAGGAGGCATAGCATGTCTGTTTGTGTGTCATGACCTACTTCATGAAAGAGTTGGCATTTATGATGGGCTTAGAAGGATGGGATGAGGGAGCCAAGAGCAGAAGTAACAGAAATGGGAAATGCAATATGCATTTAATAAAAAGCAAGTAGTCTAGTTTGATTGGGGAGTCGGGGAGAAGATGTCAGTAGGGAAGCAGTAGAAAGTTAGACTGGAAACATACATGTGGTTATGTATAGAGCCTTTATATCTAGGCTGAGAGGTCTGAACTTAATTAAGTGGATAACAAGGAGGCTTTGAAGGTTTGTAAGTGAGTGATTGGCAGAATGAGGTTATGATTCGGAAAAGTTCATACGGCAACAGCAGGTGTAATGTGGATTGGTGTGGGTAGCCCAGATGGGAGACTATTCATAACAGTTTTTGCAAAGGCAGTAAGGCCTGAACCAAGGTGATGGCAGGGAGAACAGAAAGAGTTTGGGTGAAATTTCAGAAGTAGAAGCAGTAAGATTTGAAACTAATTAAATATTAGAAGGAGACACAGTAATCAGGTGATAATGGCAATCCAAGATTTTGACCCCCTGGAAAGAAGATTGGCTGGTGGTAGTAGAACAAATCGTGATCTCATTGAAATGATGACATCAAGAGGAGGATTGTGTTGGAGGAAAATATAAGGTGTTTGTTCATTCATTCATCATTCATTCTTGCCCACCCTTAAAAAGCTCACAGCATAGTGCATAAGAGGATGTTAAACTATCAATCACACAACGTGTGATAAATGCAGTAACAGCACCTGTAACCACCAGGTTCTTATGCTTTGTGCTCTGTGGGACACAAAGGTGCATCAGACATAGATCCTGCCTTGGGAGCTCAACTGTCTGGTAGCAGATAGAAGGCATGTGATGTATATGACCATCATTCAAGGTACAATGTGAAGTAGAGGTTGGTTTTGAGCAAGCAATGCTTTAGAACATCCATGTGAAGTCTAGCAAAGGGTGGAAATGAGGGTCTGGAGCTCAAGAGCATTGCCTGAGACAATATTAGGTGATCAGTGTATCTTCGTTTGTCAAATGAATGAGAGTAGCTGGATCTACAGGTGTACATTTAGACTGAGTTGATAGCTGACCAAGGAGCCCTGGTGGCACAGTGGTTAAGCACTCAGCTGCTAACCAAAAGGTCAGTAGTTAGAACCCACCACCCGTTCTGCAGGAGTAAGATGGGGCTGTCTGATTCTGTGAAGATTATAGCCTTGGAAACCCTATGAGGCAGTTCTACTGTATCCTATAGGATCACCATGAGTCAAAATCGACTCAGTGGCAACAAGTTTGTTTTGTTGTTGTTGATAGCCGGACACTTGGTTGCATGGAGCAGCCAAAGGAAAGAGAAGAGACAATGATCAAAGAAAGCACCTTGGGACTCCCAGGTTCACTTCAAGGCCTTATGTTGTCTGTGCGCCATGGAAGTCTTCTGTGTTGCTCCTCTCCTCTTTGCTCACAAAGACCCCATTGGTCTTCTTTCAGTTCTTCTAAGGCCCAAATGCTTGCACTTCTTGGGTCCTCGACACTTGCTGTTCCTTCTACCTGCAGCACGTCTCCCCCTCCCCCGTGCTTCTCCCCATCACTTTTGTCTGAATTACTCTTCTTCCTTCTTGAGACTGCAGCCTCAGGGAAGTATCTCCAGACCTCACTAACAACGTTCATTCTCCTTATTCGCTTTGATTGCCTTTGTGCTTCTCTTTCATAGTACTCAGCACAACTATTTCGGAATAATTACTGTGAATCATTTCTTTAATCTTTGTTCCTCTTTTAGACTGTAAGCACATGAGGTTGAAGACTTTTCTGTTTATAGCTGAGTGTCTAGCATCTAACAGTACATGGCAAATAGTAGTTGCTCAGTAAGTATTTATGACCTTAGTCACGTGAGTCCTTTGACCACAGTTTCTGTGGGTAGAGGAGGTTATGCTGATTTTCTGAGGCAGATGATGAATTATTTTTATGTCAATTAGTTATGTACTGTAAAGACAAAGAGGTACATTTATTCCAATTTTCATCATTGCTTAATGTCTGTATATTTCACTTCTTTCAGACTTTAATTCCTCCTTAAGGAAGGTCATGTGGAGACTACTCACACAAAAGCATTGACTTTGGAGCATTATTATATAGATAAAT